TATAATTGTCTTGCTTATTAAGCAAGACAATAAATGGCAAAGATATGTAGAAAATAAACGTATTTAAGATACGTTCATAAGGAACGTAACGTGGAGAAAATATGTTTCTAGAAGATATGTAGAAAATAAACGTATTTGAGATACATTCATAACGAACGTAACGTGGGAGTAAATACGTTTCTAGCTAAACGTAATTCAGAATGCAGTTTAGTTCTGTGGGAACGTAATTTTTAGGAGACAGGGTTGTCTATGAATGTAATGCTTCCTGTGAACTTATAAATGACCGTGTGTGGTACGAAGTGAATATGCTTCACCAATACTGAAGCTATATAAAACATAACGGAGACCGAGCTATGGCACACGAGACCACCTCTGTTACAAGTAAATTCCATTAATACATTTTATAAATCTGAACTACAGATGTTTGTAGTTCAATGTGCGGGGAAACCAGAGTTCCTGGTGTAAACCCGAATTAGCCGACTACAGGAATCAGTCTGACTTTAAACCTAGTCCTATAGACTCTGTGGTGTTCCGGTAAACCCAATCTCCTAGCTTTGTGCCATTTGCTTTCTATTTTAGTTTAATGAGTTCTGTGCCTGCTTCTAAATGTAAATGGTTTTTTTTCATATACATCTGATCTACAGGTGTTTGTAGTTCAGATGTGCGGGGAAACCAGAGCTCCTGGTGTAAACCCACATAAGCAGACTACAGGAAGCAGTTTCAGGTCTGGGTTTAAACCTAGACCTGCTGCCATCCTATCATGACAGCACAAGCTATAACTAGTGTGTACACCTGATCGGTCAGCCAGGATATCCATCCATGAAGGGAAGGATCCTCTTGGTTCTCCTCAATCTGCTCTACGTTAATCGTGCAGGCGAGTTTCTTTTTGTGTTTCAAGGACTTGATTTCGGATTGGAGGGCCTGGTTCTCCCTTGTCTTCACCTTTAGAAGAACTTGGAGCGTCTCCACCTCATCGCAAAGCTCTTCCTCCCCCTGGCGCAGCTCAATAACCTGCCTAAGCAGAGCTGCCTTTTCCCTGCACACCACCTCTTTCTGAACCATGACAGTCTCACACTTCTCCACTGAGACCTGAAGTCGAAGGTCCAGCGAGTGAGTTTCAAGGTCATGGATCTGCTGTCTCAGGTCGAGCGTTCTGTCCAACTCGTTTTTCAGTGACGGGATCAGCTCTTTGTCAATAAGTATTTTCCCCTCCATCGCTGAGGCCCTCAGCTGATCTAGCTCTGGCAGATATTTTCCCTCTCTGATGGTTTCATATTTGTGCCTTGTGGCCTCCATTTCAGCCCTCACTGCGTTGTACTTTTCAGTTGTGGTTTTGAGTTCTTTTCCAACATTTTGAACTGCAGCTTCATAGACCCTCTTTTGAAGCTTCATATTTTGCTCGTAAGAATCCATAAGTTGCAGTGAAACCTCCTCATGTTCCTGTATTTTCTGATGTAGAACAGCATTTTCCCGAATCAAGCTCTCTTTCTGCTTTTTCTCTGCTGCACACTTTCTTTTAAATTCCTGGAGTAACAGGCTCTCAGCTTCACTTTCCAAGTTGTCACGTTGGAGGACGTCCTTCTCAACCTGAACAACCCTTCTAACACAGGGCTGCTGTTTCTGACTCATCTCTGCTTTCAGGCACCTGTCAGTTATAACAGCTCTGAGTCAGTAAGAAACTGAAGTATTAAACAGCTAATGTAGTTATAAGCTGCTAATACTCTTTAGTTGATAACTTAGAGAATACACAGTCAGGTTGAACATGAAAGCCATTCCTATACTGCATGACATCATAATGTCCATCAATGCCATTATGATGCGTGAGGATTCTAGAACTTTCATGGATTTTGGAATGACAGTTTTAAGGGATTCTTTTTTCTAGATTCCAGTTTAATAGCTTTTATTACACAACTCAGTTGAATACTCGATTCTGATTGGTCAATTCAGAATATGTGACAGGTTGTTAATACAGTAGTACAGACCACTGTCAAGGACTATAATGACCGTTTGTGACGAAGATGGCTTCGTCACTGTGGACTGACGGCTTCGGGCCTTGTACTATTGCACATGTGCTTTTATTTTGAAAAGTGTTTCCCTTTCCCCATGTCTGTTACTCCTGATTGTGTTCACCTGGTGCCCTGTGTTGTCTCCTCCCCCCCCCTCACCTGTGTCTTGTTGGGCTGATTAGTGTGTAGGTATTTAGGCTCTGTTTTCCCTGTCTGTGGAGGCTGGTAGTGTGGGTGAGATCCTTGTGGCTGGTGACTGTGTTCACCTGGGCAGCAATATTGAGGCTGTGTATCCTGTACCACAGCGATGAATAAATGCCCACACCGGGTTATATTTGAATTCTCTGCCTCCTTGCTTGGTCGGGCTGCTCAACGGTCAGATTCACACCGTTGCTAAGGAGTATCAAGAGAGAGAAAGAGGTTAAAAGACGGAGTGCTGGACGTCAGATAAATCCATGGATGTATAACCAGCAGAAGGCAGACAGGATGTAAACACTAACAGGAACACGGTATGGGCTCTGCAGTGTTTAAGGACTTGTTAGTGGATCAGAAACTGAGAACAGATTTGGACAGTGCTGCCATAAAGTTGTTAGTGTTTTTTTCTTAGTGGAAGAAATACGATCATTTTGAAGTCAATAAAATCGTTTCAATTAATATTGGGAGTCGAGTCGTTAGTTTGTTTAGTATCTGGCCGTGTAATAAGCGGGATAATGTGAAGCAAGGCGGTCATTATGGGTCTGATCAGGGTGCGAAGCGGAAGGATCTTGATCATCCTTACATAACAGCTGTGAGTCAGCCTAACCACTTTGGTGTGTTGTAAGAAACTATTTGTAAACCACTAAAGGAGTTAGAGTTTACAAGTTCTAGTTATAACTGAACTTATAGTATGGTTATGTATCAGGCTGTGTTTCTGATATTTGGCTATGATGTTCCATCCATCCATCTTCTCCCGCTTATCCGTGGTCGGGTCGCGGGGGTAGCAGTTCCAGCAGAGAGCCCCAAACTTTCTTTTCCCTGGCGACATCAACCAGCTCTGACTGGGGGATCCCAAGGCGCTCCCAGGCCAGCGAAGAGATATAATCCTTCCACCTGGTCCTAGGTCTACCACTTGGTCTCTTCCCAGCTGGACGTGCCTGGAACACCTCCCTAGGGAGGCGCCCAGGTGGCATCCTAACTAGGTGCCCGAACCACCTCAACTGGCTCCTTTCGACGCGAAGGAGGAGCGGCTCAACTCCGAGTCCCTCCCTGATGACCGAACTTCTCACCTTATCCCTAAGGGAGACACCAGCCACCCTGCAGAGAAAACCCATCTCGGCCGCTTGTATCCGCGATCTCGTTCTTTCGGTCATGACCCATCCTTCATGACCATAGGTGAGGGTAGGAACGAAAATGGCCCGGTAGACAGAGAGCTTTGCCTTCTGGCTCAGCTCCCTTTTCGTCACAACGGTGCGGTAAAGAGACTGCAGTACCGCTCCCGCTGCTCCGATTCTCCGGCCCATCTCACGCTCCATTGTTCCCTCACTCGAGAACAAGACCCCGAGATACTTGAACTCCTTCACTTGGGGTAAGGACTCATTCCCTACTTGAAGTGGACAGTCCATCGGTTTCCTGCTGAGAACCATGGCCTCAGATTTGGAGGTGCTGATCCTCATCCCAGCTGCTTCACACTCGGTTGCGAACCGATCCAGTGAGTGCTGAAGGTCGCAGACCGATGAAGCCATTAGAACCACATCATCTGCAAAAAGCAGTGGTGCAATCCTTAGTCCACCGAACTGCAGACCCCCTCCCCCATGACTACGCCTCGAAATCCGATCCATGTATATTACAAACAGGATTGGTGACAAAGCGCAGCCCTGGCGGAGGCCAACCCTCACCGGAAATGGGTCCGACTTACTGCCGAGGACCCGGACACAGCTCTCGCTTTGGGAGTACAGAGATTGGATGGCCCTGAGTAGAGACCCCCTCACCCCATACTCCCGCAGCACCTCCCACAGTAACTCCCTGGGAACTCGGTCATACGCCTTCTCCAAGTCTACAAAACACATGTAGACCGGATAAGCGTACTCCCAGGCCCCCTCCAGGATCCTTGCGAGAGTAAAAAGCTGATCCGTCGTTCCACGACCAGGACGGAATCCGCATTGTTCCTCCTCAATCTGAGGTTTGACAATCGGCCTGACCCTCCTTTCGAGTACCTTAGAGTAAAATGATGTTATGTTATGCTATGATGTTTTCTCATCTAATTTGATTAAATTCCTCAATTAATGTTTTTTATTTTTTATTATACTAGAATCTAGATGTATAATTGAAAAGCAACAAATACAATGGACTCTCAGGCTCTGTTAACAAAAATATGAAACAGATCAGGAGACTAGACAAATCTCGAAGGAGAATAATGACAGTAAAAAAAACGGGTTCATATGGTTGATATGAGTACAGGACTTAATAAATACAAATAATTTAGAAAGTGTGAATATAAAGAAATATTTTGAGTTTTGCCAGAAATGTGTATTTACATGGTGTTATTGCAACTTAAAATGTTTAAGGCAATCCGTTTCCTAATCTGAAAAAAAGCCACAAGTAGATATATTTAAATTGGTCTTACTTTATTCAGTAAATTCCATTAATACATTTTTAATAAGCTTGGAGAAATTAAACATTTAAGTTAAAATAATTAAAAGATGTAAGTTCAATTAACTTTATTAACCAAAGTAAACATAACAATAAATACTTGAGTTTTCCCAAAGTCAAATTGATTCAGTTGGTAAACTTAAACGTATTGAAGCAATCGGTTTCCACAAACGCCTTGAGGTCAACCCTTATGTTATGGAACTAATCAAATATATTTTGTATACATTAATTCTGTCAGGACTTTTCAATTTTGAAATTGAAAATCTATCTTCATTCACGCCGTTTCTGATTATGCAACATTTCTCATTATTTCTACAGAACGATCAGATACTGATAAAGATCAAAAGTATTCACCACAAAGAAATGTTCCTTCTTCAGATTTTTATTCTGGTTGCCTGAAAATACAAACTGTTGTTTACACATGTAACGATATAATACAAAACATAGAAGGAAAAAAAGGATATTTTCACTTACACCACAACAACATACATACATGCACACATTCCTGTATATTAAATGCAAAGTCAAAGTGTGAATCAATCATAGCAGCATGTAGCGGGTGAGGCCGCCCCCCCGCATCTCCCGGAGGCGCTGGCAGTGCCGCAGCATGTTCAGAATCCCCTGGAAGCGTTTGTCCACCTTGATCTTAGAAAACTCTTGGATGTCCTCCTGCACCACGAAGTTCTGACCTGAGGGACAATTCACACACAGAGTGAGTCAAAAGATGACCGAAATTATAAAATGACTATTTTTTTTAATTACTTATATATAAAAAAACGTATTTATAAATTCCCCAACTAGCTAATGTACTGTTCCCTAACAGCAGCTGGTGCTTGAAACTGGTGATCCACTGTCTGACTGTCTCACCAGTACCATCTCATGATGCTATTTCCTTATAAATGTATATATTCTTTTGTTTGAATTGACTCAGAGTGCTGTTAATGAAGGATGGTATGATATGAAGTTACCCTTTTATAACATGGATGATGTTGTACTTGCGTACCATGCTGCGAATGGATCTGGCCCTTCCTACATCCAGGACATGGTTAAACCGTACACCCCAGCACGTGCACTCCGCTCTGCATCAGCCAAACAGCTCGCTGCACCCTCACTGCGAGGGGGACCCAAGTTCCCATCAGCAAAAACACGTGGGTTTGCTATCCTGGCTCCTAAATGGTGGAATGAGCTCCCCATTGACATCAGGACAGCAGATAGCTTACACACCTTCCGGCGCAGACTGAAAACTCATCTCTTTCGACTCCACTTCGAGCGATAGAACTATTAACAAAGCACTTATATACTAATAAAGGACTGGCTTATCTAAAGCCAGTTGAGTAGCACTTGAAATGTTTTTGCTCTATGAAGCCTGATGTACTTATATGATTCTGTTTTCTTCAAGGTTGTGTCTTCCTGGTCAAATGTACTTATTGTAAGTCGCTTTGGATAAAAGCGTCAGCTAAATGCAATGTAATGTAATGATGTAAGCGTAGCCACCAAAGCCATTCTTACTGATCAATAATTAGATCAAACAAACAAAAATATTACTTGGAATAATTAGAAACCCCCCCCCCCCCTAAAAAAACAGCTTATACAGCTGAACAGAAAAACGGTGAGAACAGCAAATTACACAATGACAGCAAAAATGTGTGCGTCACGTTCTAGCCACTTTTTGGCCACATTACTTTCTACTCTCACCGTGAGCTGTTGTTGCTCCGCCCCCAGCCTCTGACGTATGTGTCTCTTGATGCTCTGTGCTGGCCAAGCTAAAAGTGATGCCCGATTTGAACCAGTTTTCGGGTGGAGTGGCAACACAAAACAATAATTCACAATCAGGGGCATCGCCTCCGAACTGTTCCTGGATCTGCCTCCGTGGAGAAGCTATCTGACTGTTAGCAGTACCTTTGGTGTCTTTGGTCTCCTGCTCCTTGAAGCGCTGGTGCAGCTTGCGTGTGTAGTTGTTGAGAGTTTTCATGGACTGATGGAGGATCTTGTACTTTGCTGTCACAGCTGTGTTGATGCTCTGCACCGCAGCGTTCATCTGATCGTACGATACCCGTCCTCTCATGTACCTGATTGGGACACAAAGTATTATTTTTAACATAATCACATGGGTCACCATCATCATCGTCATCATCATGAAAAGAAACAGTAAAACTAACATGCTAAAAACAGTCGTGATATTCACGGTATTCAAGAGAGTTAGTTATCTTACAGCAGATCAAATGCAGGACGTGTAAAGCGTACAGAGGATAAGATAAGATGGAGCTTTATTGTTCCAAGTAGGGACATTCGGGTGTCATAGCAGCAAAAGAATAAGAAAGAAACACAGGTAGTACTGTACACATGGGATAATAAGAAAACAAATGTGCAGGTAGCCTCGCGGTGAAAGTCTTGTGTACATACAGTGCAAATATTATTAATGTGAATAAGGAACCCTTTCAAGATAAACTTTACACCATAAGATTTGTTTTGTATAACTGTCATACATAGGGTGGTGCACGATCGAGTTCTGGAAATGAGGCAGCATTTTACAACTTCCTGTTCCCTCATCTCGAAGTGAACGATTCTTAGAACGTGTTTTTAGTTAGGCCTAAAATAAGGTCTGTGGTAAACACAAGTTCAAGAGATTTTCATGTTTTGTTCTACAACATAAAATACATCAGTCACTACCCCACTGGTTAACATCCCAATCTTCTATGCGTCTTAAAAACAGCGGTTGCTAACAAGTGGCTGAATGGAACCACTAGATGTCATCACGCTGAACACTAGCTACCTTTAGCTTAGCAGTGTTGACGTAAGGTCATCTGACCGTGATGTAACTAACAATAGCAACATTAGCTTTTCATTTTAGCAATTGCATTTATGCTTCAACCATATATAAAAGTGGTGTCAACTTGTGGAGATTATTAAGTATCAAAATTCCAAAATCCTTTTTGTCAAGGGAGCCGATGTGATGCTAACAAAAATACATCCTCACTGCACCACTCCACTCTTTCTTTATTGGTGGAATAACTGGTCGTATAACTGGTTTTGTGTGCTCCATTTGGTTATTAACAAATACGGTGCAGTGTAATTCCAAAAAGACCTTAGCAGAAATGTTGACATCGGGGTTAAATATTATTCCTTCTGGACCTTTTTGGAGAAGATTCAGTAGTATTAGTAATCCCAATGTTATATTCTCAAAAAAACATTGTTTAATATTTGTACTAAATGTTCTTGGATGGTTCACCCAAGCCTTATCAAGTCTTATTCACATCACTAGAATGCCTTGCAGGTTTAGGCGACACAATTATAAATAAATAACTGTAGTAAATGGTTGCTTTCCAGAAAACTGATAAACACATCTATCATATAATCATATCATGGGGGGGGGTACTTACTGAGGGATGCTCTCAAACTCTGGCACGGTGATGACGTCCATGCTTCTGATGCAGCTCTTGTTGCTCTTTCTCACAGGGTGCTGCTGCGCTGGCTGAACAGCTTCATCCTGCTTCAGAGCAGCTTCCCCCCCACTGTGACACGACAGGGACACAGGCAGGACAGTCAGGCTGTTTCCAGAGTAGACTAAAAACACTACATATTTCCTTTATGTAATAGTTCATTGACTTTATTTACTAAAGACTTGCTTTCTCTTACTGCTATTTCTACAAGTTTCATTTATTTATGTTGTGATGCAAGTTGTTGTACCTTTATTTTACACAAACAAAATATGACATGTCTCAAAAATAATTCTATATACTGTTATACTTGCTATTGCAAAATGATTCAGGATTTCGGAGGTAGCGCTCCTTTTTCCACCATCTTTTATAATTATCATTGAAAGATGTACAAGGGTGAGATTTTTCAAGAGGATCTGTACCTAAGATATTTTTGTAGGTTTGTAGGAATGAATTTGTAGGCCAGGACATCATGCTGCATTCTGATCCTCAATTCAGAAACATATTTGACATCTTTGTCTAGAACAATTACGGCCTTTATTGCCATTTTAATATTGTCCATATTGCTATTTTGATAGATGATGATTGATGAACGGTGCAGCCCTGTCACAGAGACGTCTGTATTCCATATTCAAAACACAACAGCTCGAGTTCTATGGAAGAGATCAGATATAAGTCCTCACTTTGCCGGGCCTCTCTTCTTGGGCATGTGAGCAGGAACGTTGTCCTTCATGTGCTGAACACCCCCCACATTCTCCTTGAATGACTCCTCAAGTCCCTGAAACAAAATAAACCACTATTACGCTGGATTGAGGTCTTTTTTTCTGCTTTTTTTGGAAGCCCTTTAAAATGCTGTATATAATAATTGAATCATCATATATTAATACCATAGTATGTACAGTGGCAAGCAAAGTAAGTGCACCCTTTGGAATAACCTGCATTTCTGTATACATGTATCCCAAAATATGGTCTGATCTTCACCTAAGTTACAATCCGTTTGAACAAATAGCACACAAATATACTTTGTTCTTGTCAAACATTCACAATGTGGGTTGGAAAAAGTAATGTAAATAAAAAATAACACAAATATGAATGAGAAACACAATAAGAGCAATTTACTGTTTAATACATTTATATAATATATTCTACTTAGATCCAAAACGCATTATGTTAAACATATCTTTCTTACATGATGGACTCAAGTGCACTTGTTATTTAATGTGCAATGCCCATTCTTAAATACATTGAATACAATGAAAAAGACAGTATGGCTGATAAATGGATGACAGCAGCGTTACCTTCAGATGCCTCAGCTCCTCTCTCTGCTGACCAACACATTTCTCAAACTGCTCCAGAAGTCCCCCCACAACCGACAGTTCTTGTCCAAGCTTCTTTATCTTATTTTGAGGCAATTCTAAATGTGAAGAGAAAGGACACAATGACACATTTGTATAACACTATTTCAGCCTCCCACAGAAACACAGAACCCCATCAGCATCGTACCGACAGCTGCCAGGGCCAGCATGCTGCGCAGCGACGAGATCCTGTCATGGATGTGGAGGCTGACATCCAGCAGATCACACATGTTGCTGCAAGAAACACACATTACATTTTCAGTACAAATAAAAACACTTCCCAGCTACAATTCATTGATACAAGTTAGGAATACTTTATACCTCAGGTTTGTGTGGTAATATGTACAATAACCTGGCTTGGGAAATAACGGATCACATGTAATGCGGGCGGCTGTGGCTCAGTGGATAGAGTACTGGACTTCGAATCAGGGGGTAGCAAGTTTGAGTCCCACTGCAGTCAGCATGTCGTTGTGTCCCTGGGCGAGACACTTCACCCCAAATTGCTCTTGTGGGGATTGTCCACAGTAAGTAAGTCGCTTTGGATAAAAGCGTCTAACAAATGACATGTAATGTGATTATTAGGGTACAAAAAAAGGTAACGTATCCCATTACGAGTTATACGACATCTTACCTTATCTGATTTGTCAATGACAGTATTTTGTTGTCTAATACTTGGAATAGGTATGTTTACTGCCCTAATTTCCTTTTTGGCTTCCATTTACTTACGTCATTCTTTTTTTACATGATAAGTGGACACCTAATGTTTTGTTAATTAATTAATGGCTACATCTTTGCTTTTGAAGTCATGTAAAAATATGTTGTTCTTAGATTAGGTTTACTGATTACATGTTTTTAGTTGTAGTAATAATAGTAGTACTAGTAATTACATGTCATGTAATTGTAACGAAATACAATTTTAGAGTTATTCTCCCTCCCCTTACTTACCCTATACTTTCATCTGTGTCAAAAAGAAAACTCTGAAAGTGTTTTAAGCAGTTGTTGTGTTAGCTTCTCAGTAACTTGGTAAAACGAACTGCCAGTAAAACAAAAACATCAGTGAATCTCCCGTTATGAAGAACACAACTAATCAGGACCAATATTTAATTCAGGTTTCCCTTTACTTTGATGCTCAGCCTAATGAGATGTGAAGTTTGTCTCTAACGTAACCTAACATTAGTCTCCTGTTTATCCGGTCAGTGTAGTGAGCTAACAGCTAACAGCTACTTCTTAACGTTAGCTATCAGGTAAAAACAGACACCATTACTATGTCAGACACTTTAACACAACTATCTGTGTGTAAGTGACACTTAAAGTGTGTTTCATGAAGATAACTTACACAGCTTGTGTTTTCAGGCTGACAGCTTCTTCTTCTTCTTCTTCTTCTTCTTCTTCCCGGTTCCACAGCAGTTTGAAAATTATCCTTCTTCTTTGTTTTTATCTCAGGCAGACTTGTCGGATGGCGGCACAGCGCTGCCCTCCAGTGTCGGAGCTGTGAAACTGCTCTTCATTAGGTTCCACCAGAGCCATATAAAGAGACCATGAAGTATAAGTAGCAGAGTGTTGGAATACTCTGTTACAAGTACAAGTCATGCATTCGAATTGTTACTCAAGTAAAAGTACAAAATAATTAGCATCAAAATATAGTAACAAAAGTTAAAGTACTCATTCTGCAGATTGGTCAATTTCAGAATATATGATATGGTTTAATTTAATTATTGATCATTAAAGTGTTATCAAAGCTGGTAAAGCTGCAGAGTTTTAATGACTTTGTATACTGCAGGGTAGCTTGTGAATAAGAGTTGATTATATTTCACATCATTAATCCAAATCTGTAAAGTAACTAGAAAATGCATTTCCTGCAGAAAATGTGTGTGAATGCTGTAAACCATGGGTCGGCAACAGGCGGCCCGCGGGCCATTGTTGGCCCGCCAGCAATAATATTTGGCCCGTAATTTTGAGAATAAAAAATAAAATATTATTTTGAGATTTTTAAAAAAAATTTTTTTTTAACAACATAGGACCGAGAGTCGCACATCAGGGTTTCCGTTAGCCGGTAATCACCGGTTTTTATCTGGTAAAATTCATTAAAACCCGGTAAATTCAAAACCTGCTGGTCAAAATGTCTGGTAATAATTAGGGATGCTCCGATCGATCGGCCGCCGGTCATTATCGGCCGATATTCACTCTTAATAGTTTGATCGGTGCTCTCTATAAAGGCCGATCAGCAGAGCTGGATCTGATCGATATGGATATAAACGCGAGTGAAGTATAACCGGACGCGAGAGATAGATCAGATCAGCTGCTGCATAATCACCTGAATCCCCGCCCACTGTATAGCGTGCTGCATGAGAAACTGACCGGCTGTCAGGAGAGAGAGGGAGGGAGAGGGGAAAAGAGAGGATCCGTTTCTCCCGTGTTATTATTCAAAGTTAATGTAAACTTTTGAATAATTTACTTCATCTACTACAAGTAGTTTGTTTGAATGTAATAATTATGTTGTTTGTTGTTTGTGGAATCATTTATTGAAAAATGAATCTAAACTTTTCGATCTGTAACGATTATAAACTGAAGCAATATAAAAATGAGCCCCATTAACTGAGTTTTAAACATCAGCATATCCGGTCATAGTCCGGTGATTACCTGCTAACGGAAACTCTGCTGCACAATTCTTCTTATTATTATTGAAACATGACCGGTAAGTTTCAAATTTGTCCGGTAAAATAAATTCTGTTCCGACATATCCGCTTACATTCATAATGTCAGCGGAGGGAGGGGAAGTGGCGCTGTGGAAGAGCAGAGTGGCGAGGGAGAGCTGTCATCTTCCCTTTACAAGCTTCAAACATGTATTTATCGTGGGATTTTGGAAATAAAAGTTCCATATTCTGAAAGCCAAGACTTTGTTTATTTAAAATCAAACAAAACACCCGAACCCTGAAAAACGAGTTTTTTACGCAAATCCACGTTTATTTTGAAATGAGCCGTTGCGACTTCCGACGGATTTCGATAGAGCGGGTCACATATGGCAAATGTGTGGTTGTGGGGAACCAGGTCAATTAAAGTACTTATTTAACTAAATACATTGAGTTTGAGTAAAATACTTGGTTACTGATTAATTTAGGTTATAATATATTAAATAAATTGCAAAGCAAAACATGCTGTAATTCATTTATTTTGTATTTTTTAAAGGTTTTCAACCTGAAAGAATCCAAATGTGTCCTTGAAAAGTTGAAATAAAGAAAAGGAAAAAGGATTCCAGTTGTCCATGCGTCCTCTGTTGCCCCTCAAGCCTCTCAAATGTGCAAACACTCAAATAAATGCCAAAAACCCAGAGAACTTTACAATACTTATCAGAATAAAAGTATGTTAAATAACACTGCTACCTAGTTAATAACTCTACTTTACTCAGTGGAGGCTCGTCCATTGAGGAAAGGGAGGACCATCCTCCCTAACATTTCAGAGAAAAATTTACTTTGAAGAGAACAATAAATACACCTCAATTTAAAAGATAAGTCTGTTAAAATACAGATAATAGCCCTGGCTTTGGGACTGAAATGGGGCTAGAGAGGACGAGCCTCCCTTTGGGCGGGTCTAGCCAGAGGCTCTGGATTGGGCGCCTATATCATCAGTGAACCAATCAGCGGATCTGACTGCGCATCAGAGTGTTGATGGGGAGGGTTATCAGCGATATCAGAGTTTTTTCTGAACCGGGGATCAGGGGCGCTGCGCCCTCTTACCAAAATCAATTCCTTGAATTAGGCTTTGATTATGTTCTGGCCCGCCATCTTGTGGCTCAGCAAAAAATTGGCCCAAGGCCAAACTTACTTGCCTACCCCTAAACTGTGTACATTTGTTGCTGAATTTAGCTGAAAATGCAGAAAAAGCTGAATGTTATTAGTTATTAGTGGGTAGGCATGTGGTGCAGTGGGTTGTGCGTTGGTGTTCGGATCAGGGTGTCAAACTCCACTGCAGTCAGCGTGTCCCTGGGCAAGACACTTCACCCCAAATGGCTCCTGTGGGGATTGCCCACAGTATTGAGTATGTAAGTCGCTTTGGATGAAAGCGTCCAACAAGTGACATGTAACGTAATGTAATGTAGTTGAATGGTCTCTGTAGCTGCTTTTAGCTACAAAAACCAAGTAAGTGTGTTGCTGAACTTAGCGGAGAAATGCAGAAAAGTGAAATGATTTGAATCAAATTGTTACAGCTCAAATGCATTGCAATGACTTAGTTGAAAAGTTAAATGTTAAAATGGAAGAGTAGGACAAATAGTGAAGAAGCTTAATATTTAAAATAAAAGGTTTAAAAAAGGTATAAACAACAACATGTATAGCCTCAATGTCCTGAAATAGCTGAATAATGTAATAGTTGAATGGTTTCTGTAGCTGAAAGTAGGCTGAAGGAGTTCAATATTAAATGTAAGTAGAAGTGAATGAATGTTTATTAAGAAGAGAAAAGAAAGTAAAAAGGCTTGGGAAAGCAGCGGAATATTTTGACTGCAAACTTTTCGACTAAAACCATATGTCACCAATAATGTATAAAACAATGTGGAACTTGTTGAAGTCAGTATGAAGTCTCCATCAGACAGAAAAGAATAATAATAATACATTTTATTTATATAGCGTGGATAGTCTGAGACAGTCTGTTAAAGTCCAGTATGTTAAAGTCCAGTCTGTTTGTCAGTGTTTGTTTCTGTGCTGAGCACCTAATCATAACAATAAACACTTGTGTGAGCCCAGAGATCAAAGGTTTCCATGGTGATGTGCAGTAATCAGTGAGAGGAGATTCTTTCCATTGGTCTGAATGAGAGATAAACCTCAAACATTTGAACGCTTTGTTGAAGAACCGTAGCAGATATCGGTGAAAAAAAACGTGTGAAGCGTCTCAGGACCCTGACGAGCGCCTGAAGTGTGCTTTTTGTGTTCGGGTCAATAATGTGGCCTTTTTGGCAGATTAACTAAAGGTGTGCGGCTGCTGCTGTGAGGAAAGAGCAGGCTGTATTTACAATAGGCCTTAATGGAGACATGTTGAACGTTTTTGTCACTTCATTCCCTCAAGAGGCATTTTGTTTAATTATTTAGATTAATTATTTTTTATTTTCCAACCTAGGAGAGGTTTTCCTAAGTTTTTAATGAAAAATTATGTCCAAGGAGTGGAGGGTTTGGGAATTATGGCAGGTTTAAAAAAAATTATAATTTTTTTTTAAATTTGGAGATTAAAGGAAAGGAGTGAGCAGAGGGTCGAGTTGTCGATTCTTGTTCTGTTTTCTGTGACTATCTTCCTCACCCTCTCAGAATTTCAGTTGCGTGCGCTACTAAAGAGACACGCTACCATGGAAACCAAACAATGGTGTAGCTGTATTAAAGTCAGAGTGGAAACAGTACTGAGTAAATCTGATTTTGTCAGAAATCGGGAGAAATATGACCCTGGGAGGAAACCGGGAGAGGGCAATGAAATCGGGAGTCTCCCGCGAAAATCGGGAGGGTTGGCAAGTATGGATGTGACCGACGTTAGCTAACATTAAATGTAGCTAACGCCGGTCACTCACCAAGACAGCTGCCCTGTTCTCCACTGGTTCTCCTCACACCACAGCTCAATTTCTCTCCGATGGCTATTGGCGGTTCTAGGGGGGGGGGGGGGGGGGGGGCAGTGCCCCCCTAACACTGACCTCTGACCCCCCTGTGGCCCCCCTAAAAATGAAAAGTGAAAAAAATGAAAACTGTATGATTTATTACACGATTTATTGAATGACGGAATAGGCGGAACTAACGTTATTCGTCATTATAGTCGGACCCATTCGAGCGGTGCACTCAGGACCCATTAGAGCGGTGCACTCACTTTCACTGTCCGGCTCGGATCATCAGAGGCTGTTGCATCCAAGAAAGACTGATTGAAACCTACGTTTCGAGAGACTACCACGATAATTGAAGGTGAGTTAAACTATTGTATCCGTGTAATTGTAGATGTAAAGTAGAGATGTAACTGTTCATTGCCTTTATTTTTATATAAATATGATATGGTGTTAGTGCAAAAATTGTACTATAACATAAGCTGAAGCTAACAGTAATAACTATAAGATATATCTGAAATAAATAAGTGTACTGAAACAAATACCAATAACTGTATTACATTGTTTTCTTATGCGCAATTACTTCATACTGTCTAGTTCTCTTTTTCGTCCTGCATTTATTGTGCCCCCCTCAGAAAATAACTGGCCCCCCAGTGGCCCCCCCAGTCAAATTGGTCTAGAACCGCCACTGCCGATGGCCGTTATTTCTTCTAATCCTTGGCTGCTCCTGGTCTCTTGGACGCCTAGCAGGCTCATAATTATATGGTTGTGGTCCGTCATATGCATTTGAATATATATTTTCAAAACTATCATTGTGATCCATGTTT